ACACCCTTGTCATCTGCGCTACTGTGGCGCTGACTGAAACAAGTATTTAATCTAGTGATGGTTGCAAACAAAACTCCTCTATTTATAGGCTGTACATAGTGATTTTAATTAATTTCCTTTTGCGTTTATGTCGAGGGCCATTAGTTTATCAGTTTTGACTGTCAAAAGTTACCCTCTCCAATAAAGTCTACTATTAAAGTCTACCATTAAATGACAATTCAATTTACGAAATATATATTCCCTTAAGTGCGTCTTGAAAAATTCATTCTTAATTTCCCTGTTGCTAACGTTTTCAGTCCTAGAGTCTTCTAAATACTTGTAATTTCTTTTAACTTTTTCGTCAAGTAGTTATTTCTGCATAAAATGGCACTGTGAGTCTAATAGTACAAAAAGAGACAAACAAATAAGAACAGTGGCGAAGAGGAGCAAGAGATTCCATTAAACTTATATGTGATCAGGAATCCACGTGTTGAATGCAAGATTATTGGATTAATTCATATGGATTAGTGTATTTTAAGTTATTTGGGATAAAAAATCTGTCAACTTAACTGCGTTTGACAGTTTTTTAATCAAAAGACTTTCAGATCGGAGTGCAATTAAAAGATCTCAGGGAGGAAGTGCGAATCGACGCGATACAGACGTGCTCGCAAACACACCTCGGACCTTCAAAGAAAAGATCCGGGGGTCACTCCCAGAAAATTGGGCGGGGATGTGCGGCCTGCTTCCCAAAACCCTTACCCTATTTGTGACCAAAATCTGTGATTTTCCTTACCCTATTTATGACCTGTAAAAGCATAATGTCAAAATTGATACCCTATTTATGACGAAAACGGCTGAAAAAGCACACCCTTTGGGGCCGCGCACTCCTATATAGCCCATATAAGAGAGCACCCTTTCGATAAAAAGACCGGCTGCCAGTAGTCAAAAATGACTTAGTTTTGTTTTTCTTCGCTCCATTGGATTATTAATTAATGTAAATTTATTTCGCTATGCTCTAACAGAACGAAATCCCAGAGGGGGGTTGTATCAACCCCCCCCCCCATTGGGGGTATGAGTTAGCTTGTACGTCCGAGGGTTAAACACGAAACAGACTAATCTCGTTAGCTAACGATACATGTTTAGTGCAGTAAGGCAAAGATATGTGTATCAAGTTAAGAAAATATTGTTGTAAGTTCTAAAAATTTGTCTCATTTTACTCTTGATCGCGATTGACTTTCTGACAAAATATCTCGTGGAGAATGCTGAAAATATCATTTCCAATATCATACCACCATAGAGAATTAGGTCTCCGGTGCCGGTTTCCTTAACCCCCCATTAAAAGAAACCTAGTGGTCGGACGGAGCGACAACCAAAGCAAATGCAACTCGAATACAACTCGAAAACAGCGTACGACTCGAATACAACTCGAATACAACTGACACTAGATCACTCGATAACACGAATCAATGAATAAATATGCTAATCACACAAAATTCTCACGAAAATGTTTGACGAATTTATTAGTCTTCTGAAACGTAAATAATGTCTTCCGCGAACCTAGCTGCAGCCTTGCTTGAAGTGGAGGACACTCGAAAGACTTGTAATCAGGACAAAGCTAAGTATTAAATTGTGATTTGGTAGGCAGCCCTGACATTTAGTTTCATTTTAATATTTGGAAAAAGTGTTCCGTTGCTGTCTCCATTCTCCAGCCAGTCTCGACCCCAGAGTCTCCCAGATCGGTGACCGTCGTCTTCTTGGTGACCCAACCGCTGACCGAGCCGGGAGACTCTGGGCTCGAGATTGATCTCCGGCTCGTGGAAAGAAAAATTAGAGGGCCATCTTGGCTGACGTCATTGTTCGTATTTTGCCTCATTAGCATAAGACTTTGCGTATGGTGCACCTCATGTTAAATATAAATTGACTCCAAACAGTTAATGAACTAGAAAAACTGGTCCAATTTTCAGCTCTTTGGCTGTAATATTAAAGGAGATATTGGTTTTCAAAAACTGCGAAATTTCTGGGTGGCAAAAGCGCTTATGAGCGCATACTTCTTTTAAAAATTTTGAGTTGTTAAACGGCTCGCAAGGCACAAAAAATATCAAATACGTAGGGGTCAAATTTCTTGGGAAAGTTAATCGTGTTATGCCCTTTCAATATTCGAAAATGATATTTTTGTAGCTTGATCAGAAACCGTTCGCTTATACTAATGTGGGACATACTGTCAACAAAGATCCCTTTATGCCTACTACAACATACGCCCTCAGTAAATTAAATGTCAACAGCTACCTCAAGAAAGTTCGGCCAATGATAGAACTATCATGAACGACAACTAATTCGAGATAAAATTAATTAATGGGTACATTTATCGTGAGAGAATCCGAAACACAGAGACAGGACTGTTCATTAAGGACATTAAGAGATCTTGTTTTAAAGGTTCTTGCCTCATTGATTAGGCGAAGCTTTTTCACTGCTTTGAAGTGTAACTGTGTATGGAATGAGTGGTGTCACTAGCAACAAAATGCAGCTTTCCAAAACTAGATCTAAATTTTATATGATAAAAACAAAAGATTCAAAAAACATTCAAACGACACAGTCTCCCTTTCCATGAAGTAAAAATTACTCACCTGCTCTAGTTTAATTTAAAATTAAACTAGGGCAGGTGAGTAATTCTTTATTGTTAAGAGCAGCTTCGCCTAAATATCAACTAGACTTGGAAATAGCGAAAAAATCGAATTTCTTCAAACTCGCCCAGAATGAAGCCCTACGGGCACTAGTTACAAAAATATCGTTTTAAGTTCGATAAATCAAAAATTATTTTTTTCCNAAGAGCACATAAGAAATGCAGCTAATTGCACTGACACAGTTCTCTGTGGCTTGTAGTTTTCAATTTTCCATTGTATTTTTTATGATACATCGCTTTAGCTTAATTCTACAGCATTTGCGAAACAAAAGATAACATATTCAACGGGCTTAAAACTAAGCCTTCCCCGAAAATAGTCAGTAAAGTAAAGTTCGTAATGGCTCGAACATGGATTGCATGTTGTTTAGAACAAAAATGTCGAGAATTTGTCTCCCTCTTGAACATGTAGGTGTATATAAAAACAATGCTACATAAGATTAAATTGCTTGTGGTAATCTACTACTAATATATAGGCCACGTTCGATATCTCTTGTATTTTAGCATGCCTCCGGGGCTTTCAGGACAATCTTTTATATTTGGTGTTGTTTTCTTTATATCCAAGCCTCTTTTAGGAATAGAGAGATAAATGAAAAGAAACTTGAAAAATTTACAATTTTGACTCAAAGCCTCGGAGTCATGTTAGAGTATTGACATATCGAACATAGCCTATCATCTCACGTGAACGCAATAATATATCAAAAATATTGCCATGTTAAAGTATGATAATAGTTAGTATTAGGTAAAGGTAAAGTATGCATACGAGCCCAGTGGCCCACCAGGCCGGCGCTTATCCCGGTTTCCTTAGCATGAAGCGACTAGGAGTATTTCTACTCCCCCCTGAATGGGATGCTATTCCATCGCAGGGGTTACCCCCAGCATTAAATTCGCCGGTACCCATTTATACACCTGGGTAGAGAGAGGCACTGTGCGAGTAAAGTGTCCTGCCCAAGAATACAACACAACGTCCCCGGCCAGGGCGGAGAACCCAGACCGCTCGATCCGGAGACGAGCGCACTAACCATAAGGTCACTGCGCCAGATCTATCATCCCATATCCAAGACAACCTGGTGGAATAATTGTCGAAAAACAATTATTCCACTCACGCTTGTTAGATATAAGGTGATGGTGTGTAGCGCCTCGTTGGCTATCTATCATTCCATATCCAAGGCACTCTCGTGGAGTTATTGTTAAAAAAGCTTAAGGAAAATTTAAACAGACAAATTAAAAGACCTTTTATGGGTTATAAACAACAACATGAAGTTCACCTCTGAGGGTTCACACTCCAATGTACAATATTTATTCTGTTATCACGTTCAGATACTCTTTGAGTATGAATCTAAATCTGGCCATCACACTACTTGCAATCATGATATGCCGGGTATTTTGTAAGCTTGACCCTGGACGGTGTAGAAGCGAATATTCCATCCGCGGTAGGATGCTGAAAGGACACACCTTCATGGAGACGACGACCACAAACTGGCTTAAGTGTGTAGACAAGTGTAACGATCACGTCAGATGTCAAAGCTTCAACTACGTCATCACCCGAGGCATATGTGAACTGAACGACCGCACCAAAGAGGCCAGACCTGGGGATTTTGTTGCGGACAGCGAACGGGTGTATCTCAAACGACTGAGTAAAAGAGGTAACTTCAGCGTCAAGCTCTATCTTTTGTTAGAAGAGCATAAACCCTTTACATAATGGCGCAAACACAATAGTTGTACATCTTACGCCTCACATTTAAGTAAAAATCCTTTGTTTGGAAACGTACGTACGCGGTTAAGGATGTACAAGGTAGTGTTATTCAAATGTAGGCGCCATTTGTGCAAAGGGTTTATTCATTTCTCATACAAACATGTCGAGGATTACTCAGCATTCCGATGACTGTCGACAGAGCTCGCCGGTTGGTTTTTCAAGAAACCTGACTGAAAAACATTGTAATGTTTCGTTATGAGATCGGAGCGCTGAAACAACAACCTTTGTTTTCTTTCAGTTGCACTTGGATCCATCGCGGAGTTGCCAGCTGAATCGTGCGCCGAGATCAGGGCGAGTGAAGGAGAAGATGCAGTCAGCGGTAATTACTGGTTCAATTCAATTAAACCTGGCGAGGTAGTCTTGGCTCCATGTAACATGTCTACGGAAGGTAAACTTTTTAGACGTTAATTCTTTCAACAAGTATCCCTTCCCGCTATATTATTGCGATAAGTGCAACATCGCGCGCTACATCAAACTTTTGCGTACAATTTCATATTTCCTGGTCCATTATAGTTGACTGCGAGTAATCCAAACCGTTCTTGTTCGTTTCAACGTTACGTCGTTCTTCAAGCAAGAATTATTTTAAGAACCAGAGACAACGAGGCTGTAACTTAAAGTTCGGTCTTAACGTGCGATATCCATCTGAGTAATTTAATTTTCTTGTTCGGTGTGAAGAAGGATTCACGAGCAGGAATAACAATTACAATTCTATAGAAACAAGCATTACGCCAGGTGAAATCCTGCCTTCCTTTTGTTTTATTTTATTTTAAGAAGGATCAACAGTGGATTCACGTGACTCGCCCAATGGTTCTGTCAGTGATCGATATTCCATGATATTTTTTCAACCTTTTGTTTAGACGTAGACGAGTGCAATGCTTCTGTTCCTGTCTGTGACATCAATGCCGAGTGTATCAACATCATTGGTTCATTTATTTGTGCCTGCAAAACTGGTTTCTCTGGGGATGGATTCAGGTGTTCTGGTAAAAACATTTTCCCTTATTTTCTTGAATAACGTACAATAATTGTGAATCTCAGTAATCGTTTCTTTTCTGGCCTATAACGGTGTGCTTACTATTCCAAACTAAGTATGACTTTTTTTGAGACTAACTAAACCCTTTTCATGCATATGGCAAATTTTGCACCCGGCCTCAATTTAAAACTGAGGTAAAAGACAACATTTATAGACTGTGTACAATTTTTTTGAAGACTCTCTAGTAGTATTAACATTCAAAAAAGAGTACCTGTAATCAGGAGTTGACATTGGTTTGAAATTTATGCAACTGTGTCGCTGACTCTTTTTATTGAGGTATTTTTGCCGATATACAGCTCCACCAAAAAAAAAAAAAAAAAAAAAAATATAGGGGTCTGAAGAGTAAACGAATGACTGCCCCGGAACCTTAGCTTTATACATGCATTCGGCTGAGTGATTAAGTTATTTCAGATATTTATCATCCACCGTCTTTCCTTTTTGCAGATATAGATGAGTGCGCCAGCGGTGCTAACGGCTGCATCAGCGGTAGAGCTACATGTTCAAATACAGCTGGATCGTACAATTGTACCTGTAACCATGGTTACACAGGAGATGGCAAAACCAGTTGTTTGTCTCAAGGTAAGTAATGGCACTTGTAGTGGACAGTACTGGTTAAGGAGGGGTCAGAGCCGCCTTAAATTTTCGAACTTTTAAGATTTTTAGTGATTATCCAAGCAATAAAATTCTTCTTGTATTACTCGCTATATGTGTTAAAGGAAATCTTGGATGAAAAGCAGGTCAAGTTCCAAAGTATACCTAATGGTTATTTTTAACTGATCCTGGGGTTTTAACTTGATATCTCTGTAAGTGGCTCGAATACGAAGTTTTGGTGTTCAGTTTAAAGCGCCTGGGCGTCGCCATGTTTAATTCATGGTAATTTATGACGTCACTGCTCCGTCAGAGATCTCAATATGGTTTCTACAGGAGATGATTTTTCGTTGTACATACTCATCTGAAATATGAATTATAAACGATTAGAAGCACTTTTATATCTCTAGATTCACGCAACGCTGTATTTAGAAAAAGTCCAACCACGATGTGACTTCTTAATTTCCCATCAAGCAGTGCAAAACTAAAAATGGTGGCGCGGGAGAAATTTGAAAAACTAAACTGAAATAGCAGAGGCAAAACGCCAGCATTCAAAACAGGCAAAGAATTATCGACTGAAAATCGCTGAAACAGTTAAACACACACACTAACTTGTGATTTGAACAGAACTGTTGTTCAACCAAGATTCCCTTAAAATCTAAACTGCTGAGGTAGGGGTGGCTATGAGTAGGCTCCAAATGTCTTAAGACTTCACGATAACCCCTAAAATCCTAGAGTGCAACTATACGTAACAACACAAATTTCTTTTTGCTAGAATGTCAGAACTATCAAAACTTGACAAATGGAGACAGGAAAAACACATCCGGTGCAGTACCGTTGACTTGTGGTAGCACACTCGGGCCAGGTTGGTTTCGTTTCCAAGGAGACGCAGGAACTAAAATGGCTACCACCTGCGTGTCTATACATCACTGTGGGACCGATTCCACCGGCTGGTTAAACGGTGCTCATCCTACAGTTGCAGAGGGTCAAGTCACCAGGCAGGTCTGCTTTAATTGGAATTCAAACTGTTGTACTTGGTCCATCAATATCCAAGTGCAAAGCTGCGGCGATTTCTTCATTTATAACATCAGTGGAACACCCTCAGTACACCCTTGTCATCTGCGCTACTGTGGCGCTGACTGAAACAAGTATTTAATCTAGTGATGGTTGCAAACAAAACTCCTCTATTTATAGGCTGTACATAGTGATTTTAATTAATTTCCTTTTGCGTTTATGTCGAGGGCCATTAGTTTATCAGTTTTGACTGTCAAAAGTTACCCTCTCCAATAAAGTCTACTATTAAAGTCTACCATTAAATGACAATTCAATTTACGAAATATATATTCCCTTAAGTGCGTCTTGAAAAATTCATTCTTAATTTCCCTGTTGCTAACGTTTTCAGTCCTAGAGTCTTCTAAATACTTGTAATTTCTTTTAACTTTTTCGTCAAGTAGTTATTTCTGCATAAAATGGCACTGTGAGTCTAATAGTACAAAAAGAGACAAACAAATAAGAACAGTGGCGAAGAGGAGCAAGAGATTCCATTAAACTTATATGTGATCAGGAATCCACGTGTTGAATGCAAGATTATTGGATTAATTCATATGGATTAGTGTATTTTAAGTTATTTGGGATAAAAAATCTGTCAACTTAACTGCGTTTGACAGTTTTTTAATCAAAAGACTTTCAGATCGGAGTGCAATTAAAAGATCTCAGGGAGGAAGTGCGAATCGACGCGATACAGACGTGCTCGCAAACACACCTCGGACCTTCAAAGAAAAGATCCGGGGGTCACTCCCAGAAAATTGGGCGGGGATGTGCGGCCTGCTTCCCAAAACCCTTACCCTATTTGTGACCAAAATCTGTGATTTTCCTTACCCTATTTATGACCTGTAAAAGCATAATGTCAAAATTGATACCCTATTTATGACGAAAACGGCTGAAAAAGCACACCCTTTGGGGCCGCGCACTCCTATATAGCCCATATAAGAGAGCACCCTTTCGATAAAAAGACCGGCTGCCAGTAGTCAAAAATGACTTAGTTTTGTTTTTCTTCGCTCCATTGGATTATTAATTAATGTAAATTTATTTCGCTATGCTCTAACAGAACGAAATCCCAGAGGGGGGTTGTATCAACCCCCCCCCCCCGATTGGGGGTATGAGTTAGCTTGTACGTCCGAGGGTTAAACACGAAACAGACTAATCTCGTTAGCTAACGATACATGTTTAGTGCAGTAAGGCAAAGATATGTGTATCAAGTTAAGAAAATATTGTTGTAAGTTCTAAAAATTTGTCTCATTTTACTCTTGATCGCGATTGACTTTCTGACAAAATATCTCGTGGAGAATGCTGAAAATATCATTTCCAATATCATACCACCATAGAGAATTAGGTCTCCGGTGCCGGTTTCCTTAACCCCCCATTAAAAGAAACCTAGTGGTCGGACGGAGCGACAACCAAAGCAAATGCAACTCGAATACAACTCGAAAACAGCGTACGACTCGAATACAACTCGAATACAACTGACACTAGATCACTCGATAACACGAATCAATGAATAAATATGCTAATCACACAAAATTCTCACGAAAATGTTTGACGAATTTATTAGTCTTCTGAAACGTAAATAATGTCTTCCGCGAACCTAGCTGCAGCCTTGCTTGAAGTGGAGGACACTCGAAAGACTTGTAATCAGGACAAAGCTAAGTATTAAATTGTGATTTGGTAGGCAGCCCTGACATTTAGTTTCATTTTAATATTTGGAAAAAGTGTTCCGTTGCTGTCTCCATTCTCCAGCCAGTCTCGACCCCAGAGTCTCCCAGATCGGTGACCGTCGTCTTCTTGGTGACCCAACCGCTGACCGAGCCGGGAGACTCTGGGCTCGAGATTGATCTCCGGCTCGTGGAAAGAAAAATTAGAGGGCCATCTTGGCTGACGTCATTGTTCGTATTTTGCCTCATTAGCATAAGACTTTGCGTATGGTGCACCTCATGTTAAATATAAATTGACTCCAAACAGTTAATGAACTAGAAAAACTGGTCCAATTTTAAGCTCTTTGGCTATAATATTAAAGGAGATATTGGTTTTCAAAAACTGCGAAATTTCTGGGTGGCAAAAGCGCTAATGAGTGCATACCTCTTTTAAAAAAATTGAGTTGTTAAACGGCTCGCAACGCACAAAAAATTTCAAATACGTAAGGTTCAAATTTCTTGGGAAAGTTAGTCGTGTTATACCCTTTCAATATTCGAAAATGATATTTTTGAAGCTTGGTCAGAAACTGTTCGCTTATACTAATGTGGGACATACTGTCAACAAAGATCCCTTTATGCCTACTACAACATACGCCCTCAGTAAATTAAATGTCAACAGCTACCTCAAGAAAGTTCGGCCAATGATAGAACTATCATGAACGACAACTAATTCGAGATAAAATTAATTAATGGGTACATTTATCGTGAGAGAATCCGAAACACAGATACAGGATTGTTCATTAATCGTTCTTGTTTTATGGGTTCTTGCCTCACTGATTAGGCGAAGCTTTTTCACTGCTTTGATGTGTATCTGTGTTTTTGTATGGAATGAATGGTGTCACTAGCAACAAAATGCAGCTTTCCTAAACTAGATCTAAATTTTATATATAAAAAAAACAAAAGATTAAAAAAACATTCAAACGACACACAGTCTCCCTTTCCATAAAGTAAAAATTACTCACCTGCTCTAGTTTAATTTAAAATTAAACTAGGGCAGGTGAGCAATTCTTTATGGTTACATAACTTTCCAGTTAGGCACGTTTTTGCAAGCATAAAATCGTCTACATTATGAAATAATTGAGAAAGCTAAAAAACTGTTAAAAAAGGGTCTGGTCCTTGAAGAACACTTAAAACAACGAAGCAAATAGAACAACAAATTAGGGAAGAATAAAATGTAAGCAGCAATATAGTTTTGGTCTTTCAGTTAAAAATTGAAAACTTTGCCGCTGGCTCAAACGCCTGTCTGATTATTCCTTTTTCTGTCGCATCAGCAAAACAAAATGAGGTTTGTGGCATACCGTTCTTAGTTCTTGACAAGTTGTTGGCTTCTGAGAAAGTTTTAATTAAACTTAATTTTTTTATTTGCGAGGAGTGGTGACTTTCTTCCTGTACTTTCGGAGTGAGTTTGCGACTGAAGTAGTAATCAATTTTCCCTGCTGGCTCACCGGCCCTTTCCACACATTGCTGACGTTGCATCCATACCTAGTTTTTGTTATACTTCACTGTAGCTAATTAAGGATATTTTTTGTAGAAAAAGCATTTAAAACTTGCGATAAATTTGGAGACGAAAATGCGTTTTAAATTATTTAACATTTTAGAAATTGCGTCACGTTGCTGGAAAATTATATTGTTTTGGCTAACCTAGTTTGTCAGTTTATAATATTAAAATTTTGTAAAGGGCATCTAACAATGCTGTTTTGCTTTGGTTAAATTGACAGCTGATAGTTCAGAGCAGTAGTGAATAAACTGTAATAAACGGCAATAAAAAACCGTTAGGCTGTAAAACTTCAAGTCTTAATTTCTTTCAGAATTATCATTGTAAGCAAAGAAAGTTTGAGACGAAAAAGAACTACATATCCTTAATTAATTGATCAACCAGCAAGTTTCTAAGACAAATATAATCAACATCTAAGCGCTTGCTTGTCTTTTTTCAGGAAATTAACATAGTTATCCATCAAGCAGGTGAAAGTATTCAGTAATAACCAGACTCTCTATTGTCTCTTGGTCTTTATAGAGAGGGAATCTATTCAGCCGCGGGACCGAAGCGCTTGCTTTCAAGGAAACCAGAACATGACAGGTAAACTGAGCCTAAATAACATATATTGTTGATACAAAAATTTCTGCCATTATAAATGGATCACGCATTTTTTTTGTTTTTGTTTTTTGGAAATATATATCTACAAGAGCCTTGAGATGGTCGTCAGTGTTTGGAGAGTTTACCAAAAGAGAAAGTCATAGTTTGCACAGAAAAGACAAGACCTTTTGGTAAGCCAACTACACTTTTTTCATTTACTGTGTAACTGTACTGTAGTTTTCACGAAAAAGTCGTTCCTACTTTCGATTCAGAGTTAATATTTCTAGCGGTACTGTTTCGTTAATGTTGCCTAACTATTTCGACTGTACACTTCAAAATGATGGATTTTCCTATTTGCAAAAGGCATCGCGAAATATTGTTCAAACTGATTTCGATTTTAACGCTTAAGTTATTAAGAGCATTTTATAGCATGTTACGTAATAAAGTATGATAAAATTCATCGAAGTAACTGTCTCAGGCTCCGTGCACACCACGCCAAAGGAATTTAAAAACGGAGGTTTCACTTTGAAAACCCATCAAATGTTCTTTGTCCACACTACGTCGGAGAAATTTAAAAACGCAAAAATCGCCTGTCATGTTGGATTTGTGTTTGAGGAAAACTTGGTCAGGGAAATCANATTTTGTAAAGGGCATCTAACAATGCTGTTTTGCTTTGGTTAAATTGACAGCTGATAGTTCAGAGCAGTAGTGAATAAACTGTAATAAACGGCAATAAAAAACCGTTAGGCTGTAAAACTTCAAGTCTTAATTTCTTTCAGAATTATCATTGTAAGCAAAGAAAGTTTGAGACGAAAAAGAACTACATATCCTTAATTAATTGATCAACCAGCAAGTTTCTAAGACAAATATAATCAACATCTAAGCGCTTGCTTGTCTTTTTTCAGGAAATTAACATAGTTATCCATCAAGCAGGTGAAAGTATTCAGTAATAACCAGACTCTCTATTGTCTCTTGGTCTTTATAGAGAGGGAATCTATTCAGCCGCGGGACCGAAGCGCTTGCTTTCAAGGAAACCAGAACATGACAGGTAAACTGAGCCTAAATAACATATATTGTTGATACAAAAATTTCTGCCATTATAAATGGATCACGCATTTTTTTTGTTTTTGTTTTTTGGAAATATATATCTACAAGAGCCTTGAGATGGTCGTCAGTGTTTGGAGAGTTTACCAAAAGAGAAAGTCATAGTTTGCACAGAAAAGACAAGACCTTTTGGTAAGCCAACTACACTTTTTTCATTTACTGTGTAACTGTACTGTAGTTTTCACGAAAAAGTCGTTCCTACTTTCGATTCAGAGTTAATATTTCTAGCGGTACTGTTTCGTTAATGTTGCCTAACTATTTCGACTGTACACTTCAAAATGATGGATTTTCCTATTTGCAAAAGGCATCGCGAAATATTGTTCAAACTGATTTCGATTTTAACGCTTAAGTTATTAAGAGCATTTTATAGCATGTTACGTAATAAAGTATGATAAAATTCATCGAAGTAACTGTCTCAGGCTCCGTGCACACCACGCCAAAGGAATTTAAAAACGGAGGTTTCACTTTGAAAACCCATCAAATGTTCTTTGTCCACACTACGTCGGAGAAATTTACAAACGCAAAAATCGCCTGTCATGTTGGATTTGTGTTTGAGGAAAACTTGGTCATGGAAATCAAATGATTATCGTGTCGCCATCGTTTTCGAAAAGCTCCGTTTTCAAATTGTTTTCCGTCCACCTGAGTATTGTCAGGTTTGCAAGGTATACAGATCCTTTTTTGTGTACTCATTATTTCTGATCCCGTGGATCGAGACCCTGGCAAACATGTTATCAGTTTTAGAGAAATGCCAGCTGAAAGAAAACTAAACTGCATAATTTATAAAACGCTTTTTATTGGTAACAGAAAGCTCAAACCGCACAAACAATGTGACTCAATATTGGTACCAAACTATTTATTTCACATCAATATATAGGAAAGATCATATATTTGATACGCGGAGAAAGATATGAAGACATAGATGATCATCTCAGTTATATAACCAACTTAAGCAGCTGTGAAATTAGAGCCTGAAAAAAATTTAGGGCTGAACGGGATTCGAACCCATGACCTCGGCGATACCGATGCAGTGCTCTACCAACTGAGTTATCAAGCCAACTGAGAGCTAGATTACGAGTAGTCCCTCTTTCGCTTGGTCCGTCGTGCGTGACGCGAAAGAAAACCGCGAGAAAAAAAATGGCCGNAGTAACTGTCTCAGGCTCCGTGCACACCACGCCAAAGGAATTTAAAAACGGAGGTTTCACTTTGAAAACCCATCAAATGTTCTTTGTCCACACTACGTCGGAGAAATTTAAAAACGCAAAAATCGCCTGTCATGTTGGATTTGTGTTTGAGGAAAACTTGGTCAGGGAAATCACATGATTATCGTGACGTCATCGTTTTCGAAAAGCTCCGTTTTCAAATTGTTTTCCGTCCACCTGAGTATTGTCAGGTTTGCGAGGTATATAGATCCTTTTTTTGTGTACTCATTATTTCTGATCCCGTGGATCGAGACCCTGGCAAACATGTTATCAGTGTTAGAGAAATGCCTACTGAAAGAAAACTAAACTGCATAATTTATAAAATGCTTTTTATTGGCAACAGAAAGCCGAAACCGCACAAACAATGTGACTCAATATTGGTACCAAACTATTTATTTCACATCAATATATAGGAAAGATCATATATTTGATCTGTGGAGAAAGATATGAAGACATAGATGATCATCTCAGTTATATACCCAACTTAAGCAGCTGTGAAATTAGAGCCTGAAAAAAATTTAGGACTGAACGGGATTCGAACCCATGACCTCGGCGATACCGGTGCAGTGCTCTACCAATTGAGTTATCAAGCCAACTGATAGCTAGATTACGAGTAGTCCCTCTTTCGCTTGGTCAGTCGTGCGTGACGCGAAAGAAAACCGCGAGAAAAAAATGGCCGCGCGAAATCCTGGGGGCGAGGACCGCCTAAGCCAGGGAGTTTAAAATTATGCGTTACTCTCACAACGAAAAAATATGATTGGTTTATGTTAGGAGCGTTGACAACTTGTTGTCAACATTCGAGATACGTGTGACGTTTTGTAGGAATGTTTATCTCGCTTTCCGACCGTAGAAAGCTTTGGAACCAGAGCAAATCGAGGCGTTGGAACCGCACTTCGCAAGCCGTGATGTTCTTGCGATTCTGTCAACAGGCTTTGGAGAAATTTTAATTTATCAAGTATTTTGTTTTTTGCCAAGCTTTCCCCCGCGAACCCGATTGCGAGCGTGTTAGTGATTTCGCCGCTCAACAGCATCAATGAGCTTAGCCTTGCTGCCGTCCATTTGAAAGATTGAACCGCACTTTCACTTGAAATTGAACATTCACCTGAAACTTTCCGCGACTGTCGGCAAACATTTCACCGCAGTTGGATGATCTCCTATGTGAAATACATAATGTAAATTCTCGGTTGAAACTCTGCGTTTGAAATTTTCGCAGTAACGTTTAGCTTTACACCTAGAGACGCAGCAAAAATCGTTTCAAGACGCTTCCTTCGCCGTCTGTTTAAAACTTCTTTGGCAGTTTCGCTTAACGAACACTGGACGAAGATATACTTCTCACGGCGTATTTTTGCCTCGCTACTTGAAGAGTAGAGTAGAGCAATTTCATTCAGGATATCTCCGGGGGTTATTGACAACAGGCAATAATAAGAGGAAGTCAAGATGAGAAATCCTGCACCGAAAAATCGCTCGGCCGTGAAATGTCAAACTCCCTGGTTTAGGTGGTAGTCCCTCTTTTCGCTCGCTCCTCGCTCCCAAGATTTCGTTCAGGCATTTTTTCGCGCGGTCATTTTTTTCGCAGTTTTCTTTCGCGCCACGTACGACGGACTAAGCGAAAGAGGGACCACTCGTAGTCTGACTGAGAGCTGGCTACATTGTTAGTTCGTAATATACCCGTAGTTGGTGAAGAATGCCACAGCTGTAGCTGCGACACAGGGGACTCGAACACTATATCACCAGGAAAAATAAATGTGCTATTATTTACCTGTGTTCCTGTGTCTTTTTGAGTCTTTTAGAAGAGATTTGAATGAAGCGAAGGCGGTTTACATTTCTGAATATTATCTCGCCTGCCGCTTTGTAATTATGACGCTCCGGTTACATCTCAAGTTTATATACTTTTCTGCAGTTCAAATATATGATCTTTCATCTATTCATGCGCATTCTTCACCATCTACGGCTATATTACGAACTAACAATGTGACCAGCTCCCAGTTGGCTTGATAGCTCGAGTATCATTGATATCTCAAGGTATCACAGAGGTCATTGGTTCGAATCCCGTTCAGGCCTGATTTTTTTTTTTTGGCTTTAAAATTAAAATTAATTTAATGTCACAGCTTCTTAATTTGTGTATATAACTGCGATGATCATCTATGTCTTTATAATTATCTTTCTGCGCAGTTCAAATATATGATCTTTTAGGCCTGCATATTTTTTTTCAGGCTCTAATTTGACAGCTGCTGAAGTTGTGTATATAACTGCGATAGTCATCTATATCTTCAAAGTATTTATTGAACATTATCAAAGTAGAGTACAACTGTTAGACTTCTTTTGATGTCGAGTTTGATAGTCATACTGACTATGAACAGCGCTAATCACGTTTCCAGATCTCTGCGGGCGAAGCCAAAGACGAGCGGAGTACTCACAAGAAGTCTGGAAACGAGATTAGAACGGCGCCATAACTTCCACACTTGCGCGCCCTTTAGCGGCTTTAGCTTTGCAGCTTACACAATGGCTGGTCCGCATCCAACAGCTAATCTGCTATGTAGGATGTTCTTATGATAGATCAGGTAAAACTTAATGGTTTTTTTTCCCTGTCGTACATGTGTTGTACGGATTCAGAACCTGGCCAGTGGCTTTGTATATCTTTAAAAATGAACCTGGTCATCAAGCTTCTTATGATCCCCATGATGTGTCAGATGTTTTGTGAACTCAACGATGAACAGTGTAGACGCGAATATTCCATCCGCGGCATGATGCTAAAAGGACACACCTTCATGGAGATGACGACCACAAACTGGCTTAAGTGTGTAGACCAGTGTAACGATGACGTCAGATGTCAAAGCTTCAACTACGTCATCACCCGAGGCATATGTGAACTGAACGACCGCACCAAAGGGGCCAGACCTGGGGATTTTGTTGCGGACAGCGAACGGGTGTATCTCAAACGACTGAGTAAAAGAGGTAACTTCAGCGTCAAGCTCTATCTTTTGTTAGAAGAGCATAAACCCTTTACATAATGGCGCAAACACAATAGTTGTACATCTTACGCCTCAAATTTAAGAAAAAATCCTTTGTTTGGAACGTACGTACGCGGTTAAGGATGTACAAGGTAGTGTTATTCAAATGTAGGCGCCATTTGTGCAAAGGGTTTATTCATTTCTTATACAAACATGTCGAGGATTACTCAGCATTCCGATGACTGTCCACAGAGCTCGCCGGTTGGTTTTTCAAGAAAACTGACTGAAAAACAATGTGATGTTTCTTTATGAGATCGGAGGGCTGAATCAATAACCTTTCTTTTTTCTTTTAGTTGCACTTGGATCCATTGCGGAGTTGCCAGCTGAATCGTGCGCCGAAATCAGGGCGAGTGAAGGAGAGGATGCAGTCAGCGGTAATTACTGGTTCAGTTCAGTTAAACCTGGCGAGGTAGTCTTTGCTCCATGTAACATGTCTACGGAAGGTAAATAGACGTTAATTCTTTCAACAAGTACCCCTTCCCGCTATCAAACACCTTGAATTCCGAGTTGTTCCTATCATGAGCGGCTGTACATTGTACTAAGTACTTCATATCGGTGTTTTTCCCTTTTTCTTTCAGGTGGTCTGCCTTGCATGGAAATTAATATCTCTTTTGCTAACCGTCCTTATGGCACCTTTCCGTCTTTTTTTCTTATTGTATAGTATGTTATCTAGTGCTTTGTATTACTTTGAACCATAAATTGCAGTAAAAAACATCGCGCGCTACATCAAACTTTTGCGTACAATTTCATATTTCCTGGTCTACTATAGTTGACTGCGGGTAATCCAAACCGTTCTTGTTCGTTTCAACGTTAAGTCGTTCTTCAAGCAAGAATTATTTTAAGAACCAGAGACAACGAGGCTTTAACTTAAGGTTCGGTCTTAGCGTGCAATATCCGTCTGAGTAATTTAATTTTCTTGTTCGGTGTGAAGTAGAATTCACAAGCAGGAATAACAATTACAATTCTATAGAAACAAGCATTACACCAGGTGAAATCCTGCCTTCCTTTTGTTTTATTTTATTTTAAGAAGGATCAACAGTGGATTCACGTGACTCGCCCAATGGCTCTGTCAGTGATCGATATTCCATGATATTTTTTCAACCTTTTGTTTAGACGTAGACGAGTGCAATGCTTCTGTTCCTGTCTGTGACATCAATGCCGAGTGTATCAACATCATTGGTTCATTTATTTGTGCCTGCAAAACTGGTTTCTCTGGGGATGGATTCAGGTGTTCTGGTAAAAACATTTTCCCTTATTTTCTTGAATAACGTATAATAATTGTGAATCTCAGTTATCGTTTCTTTTCTGGCCGACAACGGTGTGCTTACTATTCCAAACTAAGTATGACTTTTTTTGAGACTAACTAAACCCTTTTCATGCGTATGGCAAATTTTGCACCCGGCCTCAATTTAAAACTGAGGTAAAAGACAACATTTATAGACTGTGTACAATTTTTTTGAAGATTCTCTAGTAGTATAAACATTCAAAAAAGAGTACCTGTAATCAGGAGTTGACATTGGTTTGAAATTTACGCAACTGTGTGTCGCTGACTCTTTTTAGTGAGGGATTTTTGTCGATATACAGCTCCACAAAAAAAATATAGGGGTGCGAAGACTGAATGAATGACTGTCCCGGAACCTTAGCTTTACACAGGCATTCGACTGAGTGATTTAGTTATTTCAGATATTTATCATCCACCGTCTTTCCTTTTTGCAGATATAGATGAGTGCGCCAGCGGTGCTAACGGCTGCATCAGCGGTAGAGCTACATGTTCAAATACAGCTGGATCGTACAATTGTACCTGTAACCATGGTTACACAGGAGATGGCAAAACCAGTTGTTTGTCTCAAGGTAAGTAATGGCACTTGTAGTGGA